CACACCTGAAACCAAGCAACCCGCACACCCTTGAACAGAAAAACATGTTTGTTGTTTTAAGCTACTCAGATTTGGAGAAAACATCCCATACTCAAGGATTTGAAGAATCAATATTGTTAAAAATGTCCATACTCCCAAAATCAATTTACAGATTCAGTGAAATTCCCATTAAAATGCCAGCATCATCTTTCATTGAATTAGAAAAAAATAATCCTACATTTCATATGGAATTAAAAAAGAGCCTAAATAGCCAGAGCAATTCTAAGCAAAGAGAACAAATCTGGAGGCGTCACATTATCCAACTTTAAATTATACTACAAGGCTATAACCAAAACAGCATGGTACTGGCATAAAAATAGACACACTGATCAATGGAATAAAGAATCCAGAAAGAAAACCATAGGCTTACCCCAGATAATTTTCAACAAAGGAAACAAACAATGGAAAAAGGATGCCCTATTTAATAAATGGTGCTGAGAAAATTAGAGAGACACATGCAGAAGAATGAAATTGGATCTTTATTTCCCATTATGTACAAATATCAACTCAAGGTGGATTAAAGACTTAAATGGAAGACATGAAATGATAATTCTATAAGAAAACTTAGGAAAAACTCTCCTGGACATTGGCCTAGGCAAAGAAATTATTACTATGATCCCAACTACAAATATTACAACAAAAATAAATAAATGGGACTTAATTAAACTGAAAAGTTTCTGTACAGCAAAAGAAATGATAATCAACAGAGTGCACAGACAACCTACAGAATGGGAGAAAAAAATATAAACTATATATCTGGCAAAGAACTATTCCAAAATTCATAAGGAACTCAAACAATTCAGCAAGGTTTTTTTTTTTTTTCCAAAAGAAGATACAAATGGCTAACAAACATGAAAAAGTGGTCAACTTCACCAATCATCAGGAAAATGCAATTTTTTTTATTTTTATTTATTTATTTTTTTGAGATAAAATCATACTTTGGTGCCATTGGTAGAATGCTATAGTGTTGCAGCTCACAGCAACCTCAAACTGTTGGGGCTTTTTTTTTTTTTTTGCAGTTTTGCCAGGGCTGGGTTTGAACCCCCGCCACCTCCAGCATATGAGACCGACGCCCTACCCTTTTGAGCCAGAGGTGCCACCGGTAAATGCAAATCAAAACCACAATGAGATACTTCTTTACTCCTGTCAGAATGGAACATTATCAAAAAGTCAAAAAACAATAGATGTTGGCCCAGAGGTGATAAAGAAGTGATGCTTATACACTGTTGTTGGGAATGTAAATTAGTAGAACCTTTATAGAAAACAATATGGAGATTCCTCAAAGAACTATCAGGTTGATACAAAAATAATTACAGTTTTTCCATTGTTGAAATTTGCCATTTGATACTGGAATACATTTTTTCTTTTTTGCATTCATTCACTCATTTAATAAATTCTTATTACTCATTAAATATAGAAGATAATAATAACAAAATGAGGTGATTGACATATCCTGTCATACAACATTATCTTGTGATTCTGCATGTACAAGAAAGTCGCCAAAGAAAATCTCTAACAACATTCTGAGTTAATAATCTAGCATCATAGAACTACACAGCAAATATTACATATATAGTTTGGAATACATTCTTAAATGTGGTTATGTTATACATCATTTTAATGTGCATTTCTCACTTCATGCTTTTTGCTAATGACTTATTACTTGCTGTTTGTATTTATTTTGAGCTATTCAAGTTCAAAGTAGGCTGTAAAGCAGCAGAGACATTTGCAACATCAACAACACATTTGGCCCAGGAACTGCTAATGAACATACGCACAGTGGTACTTTAAGAAGTTTTGCAAAGAAGAGAATTTTGAAGATGAGGAACATAGAGGCTGGCCATTAGATGCTGACAATGACCAACTGAGAGCAATCATCAAAGCTGATCCTCTGACAACTACATGAGAAGTTGCTGAAGAACTCAATGTTAACCATTTTATGGTTTTTCAGCATTTGAACAAATTGGAAAGGTGAAAAACCACAGTAAGTCAATGCATCGTGAGCTGACCAAAACTCAGAGCAATTGTCATTTTCAAGTGTCATCTTCTCATATTCTATGCAACAACGATGAACCATTTCTTGATTGGATTGTGACATGTGACAAAAAGTGGAATTCATATGACCAGCTCAGTGGTTGGACCAACAGGAACCTCTAAATCACTTCCTACAGCTAAACTTGTACCCCCAAGTGGTCATGATTACTGTTTGGTAGTCTGCTGCCAGTCTGATCGACTACAGCTTTTTAAATCCTGCAGAAACCATTACATTTGAGAATCTGCTCAGCCAATCAATGAGATGCACTGAAAACTGTAATGCCTGCACCTGGCATTGGTCGATAGAAAGTGCTCAATTCTTCTCCACAACATGTGACTACACATCACACTACCAATGCTTTAGAAGTTGAACAAATTGGGCTACGAAGTTTTGCCTCATCCACATCATTCACCTGACCTCTCACCCACCGACTACTACTACTTCAAGCATCCAGACAATATTTTTGCAGGGAAAATGCTTCCACAACCAGCAGGATGAAGAAAATGCTTTCCAAGAGTTCACTGAATCCCAAAGCACAGATTTTTACACTACAGAAATAAACAGATTTCTCATTGGCAACAATATGTTGATTATAATGGTCCCTATTTTGATTAATAAAGATGTGTTTGAGCCTAGTAATAATTTAAAATTCATAATCCAAAACTGCAGTTACTTTTGTGCCAGGCTAGTATAAGTAGACATACCATTTGATTCAGTAATTTCACAACTGGGTATCTAGCCCAAGGAAAAGAAGTCTTTGTATCAAAAAGACACATGTATCTGAGTGCAGTGGCTCACGCCTGGAATCCTAGCATTTTGGGAGGCTGAGGCAGGTGGATTACTTCAGCATAGGAGTCCAAGACCAGCCTGAGCAAGAAAGAGACCTCATCTCCACTAAAAATAGAAAAACTAGCTGAGTATGGTGGCACATGCCTCTAGTCCCAACTACTTGGGAGGCTGAGGCATAGGGATCACCTGAGCCCAGGAGTTTGAGGTTGCTGTGAGTTGTTGTGTCATGCACCCTACCCAGGGCAACAGAGTGAAACTGAGTCTCAAAGGAAAAAAAAAAGGCACATGCATTTGAACATTTATCATACTACAATTCATAACTGCAAAGATGTGGAAGAAACCTAAGTGCCCATAAATTGATGATTGGATAAAGAAAACGGGGGTCGGGGTGTATTTTAATCATGGAATACTATTTAGCCATTAAAAAAGAAAAATGATGTTTTTGCAGCAACTTGGATGGAACTGGAGGTCATTATCCTTAGTGAAGTTTCCCAGGAACAGGAAAACAAACACTGCATGTACTCACTTACAAGTGAAAGCTAAACTATGGGCATCTGTGGTCATACAGAGTAATATATTGGACTTTGGAGACTCATATTCAGGGAGGGTGGGAAGGGGAAGGAATCAAAAATCACCTATCGGGTAAAATGTACAGTATTCAGGTGCTGGATACACTAAAAGCCCTGACTTCACCACTATACACTTCATCCATGTACAACAAAAATCACCTGTATCCCCTAAATCTATTGAAGGAAAAATACATACATATATACCAGCATTTCAATGAAAAAAAAATAAACCACTAAGGTCTTAGGATTATTACACAGCACTCATTGTAGCAATAGCTTAATAATGCACTAATTGCTTTCCCACATTAGAGATTTTATTTAGTGTATGCCTACTTTTCCAGACTATAAGTTTCATGAGGATAAAATCTGTATCTCTTCTGTGTACTTCTATACAGCCAGGGCCTAGAATAATTAGTTAGGCTGTGGCTGCATAAATGTTTGTGAAAAAATTATTGATACTATAAAGACTACCTTTGATTCCATTAAACTTTGTGACATGATTGTAAGCATATAATTGTTTTTAATTTATCCTATTATCCAACATTTAACTGAATTCTCTTGTGCTCCTAATCATTTTCTAGTTGATTCTCTTGGATTGTCTAGAACTAAAGTCAAACCATCTGTGGTGGTGGTCTGTTAAATTGTGTTACCAATAAACCACACTTCCAGGCATTCTCACCTGGTTCAGGCCCCTGTGATTTTCATTTAATCTGTGATTTGCATTTAATCAATAGAATGGAATAGAAGTGACACTGTGCCCAAGGCTTAGGAGCCCAGTAGCTTCTGCTTTTGTGCTGTCAGGAGCCCTGGTTCACCTTGTAAGAAGTCTGGTTACCCAGCTATCCAGAGAAAGAGGGGAAAACCCACCTCAATGGGCAGAATCATGAGCAAGTGAAATGGTGGTTGTCTTATGCCACTTTGGGTAGTTTGCTACACATCAATAGATCGTTAAAATATCTGTAAATAACATCAATTTTGTGTCTTCAGTTATAATCGTTCTGCAACATTATACTCTTGTGGAAGTACATTGGCTAACTCTTAACCCCATTTTGTCACTCATCCCCCAAATGTAATAAATCTTAGTATTTACTCAGTGAAATAAAATTAGAGGAAAATGCATCAAACCATTGAATTGATATTGTTTATTTAAGAGCATAGAATTATGGAGGATAGCTTTCATCTTTTATGTTTTTCTGTAAAGTTTAAATTTTACATCATAGCATACATTACTTGTATCATAGAAAAGATATTAATGATGGTGACTGTAAGACTTCATTTTATTCCTCACATTAATGAAAAATGTTTTAACATTCTACCACTAAGCAAAACACTGACTTTTTTTTTTGCTATATGTATAAATACATACGAATTTTATATGTTTTTTCAAGTACAATTCCATTTATTATCATGTAACCCAGTGTTTAAACATCAGCATCAGACTTTGAAATCTATTGATTATCTGTTTTTGCACTTATCTATATTATATAGGTTCTCTTTACAAACATACCAACTTATTACTAATAGCAAAATAAATATAATTTATATTACCTAATATTTCATACACTTGCTGCTGTGCACAGTAGTAGTATCATAGCCAATAAGGTTTATCCGAGGCACAATTATTGCTAGTTGAAAACTTTTCCTGGTGCCCCCTATTAAGCGACCTAAAATATAGTCAGCACTGGCAATTTTTGACAGTCTCTACTGAGATGGAATAAAGAAAAAAATAATAATAAAATGAATAAATAAATTACACTTGCATTACTGATTGGCTTGGTGAAAGAACAATCCTCTTAATACAGAGAATTCCATGAGGAAAGATTGAGGCTTGGGAACGTGGCAGATCAGGGTCCCCAGGACTCGTCCATCTGGGTTCCCATTCCCTGAAGCTAAGCACTGTCTGCATTCCTTAAAGGAAAACGCAATTGTCCTGCATTTTCTGTACACCAAATCCCCTATAATTACAATCTACATCCACTGCCTGAGCCACAGAGATTTTCAGTTATGTTGAAAGAACCTCATTTCAATCTAGACAAAGAGTTGAAGCAAACAGCATAAAAAAGAGGTGGGCTGAGTGAACAGAGGAACTAACACCAAATGAAGTCGAGTAGATGCAAGAATCAAAAGCAACCTTGAAAGTAAGCCTGGTCAATGTATTAAGAGATGTTTGAGCAGATACAAAAGATATTCTTAAATCAAAATGAGGTGGCCGAGAATAAAAAGGAACTGAGTTCTTACAAATTTAAAGAGATAGTTGCCAAAATGAAAAACCCAACGTAAAAACTGAACAGAAGGACAAACACATATGAAGACCAATTTAGTGAGCAGGAAGATTCATGTAATTTATTCTCCAGAGTGCAGTGCTAAAGCAAAAGAATTTTTGTACCCCCTACACCCTCTCTCCTTCCTTCTGGTGCCACTCTGGAAAATTTGGAGGCAGCTGGAGGAATAGAAGAAGAGGACCTAGGAAAAGGAGAAATAGATACCCATGCCCTCCCCTCCCACACTGGTCTTCCCTAGCGCAGGAAGAGAGGGGCTTTCACTTCCCTTTCAGAAATCTTTTTTTTTCTGAGACCAAGTTTCACTTGTTGCCCTCAGTAGAGTGCAGTAGCGTCATAGCTCACAGCAACCTCCAGTTCTTGGGCTCAAATGTTTCTCTTGCCTGAGCCTCCCAAGTAGCTGGGACTACAGGTGACTGCCACAATGCTCGGGTATTTTTTTGTTGTACTTGTCATTGCTGTTTGGCAGGCCCAGGCTGGATTTGAACCTGCCACCTCCAGTGTATGTGGCTGGTGCCCCAGCTGCTGAGCTATCAGTGCCAAGCCTTTTTCTCTTTTTTTTTTTTTTTTTTTTTTTTGAGATAGAATCTCACTCTGTTGCCCAAGCTACAGTGATATGGCCGCAGCCCAGCTCACAGCAACCTCAAACTCCTGGGTTTAAGGGATCCTCCTGCCTCCTTAGTATCTGAGACTACAGACATCCACCATGAGGCCTGGCTAATTTTTCTATTTTTAGTAGAGACAGCATCTCACTTTTGCTCAGGCTGGTCTCAAACTCTTGAGCCCAACCTTGCCTCAACCTCTCAGAGTATTAGGATTACAGGCATGAGCCACTGTGCCTGTCCTCCCTTTTAGAAATTTTAAATGGAATTTAAAGTATTACATGTATTTGCTGAAATGAGACTTTTCTGTGGCTTGAGGTAACAGGGAAACTCAGTGACTAATAATGGCAAAAAAAGTCGTGGGGTTTCCTGGGAATTTCTCTCAGGGCTACATAACAAGTTTGAATACACAGTGGGAAACAAAAATAAAATTGTTGAATGATTATCCCTATAGTCCCAATGGTTCCAGCTAATGGCTCCATTTCATTCTCAAACTATACAGGATAATAAAATCAGAAACACCAGGAGTGCTTGTTAAAAATAGATCTGGAGGCCCCAGGCCCCAGAGAGTCAGACTTGGGAGGTCTGGAAAGAAACTCAGCAATCAACCTCTTACACATGCCTTCCCAGATGATTCTGATCAGGTTAACCCATCCCCACACCTTAAATGTTTTGTTCAAACCCTTAGCCCACCTTCCAATCATTTCCCTCTGTGACTCAATGCAAGCTTTTCATTGCTCTTGAAAAGTCCCTTCCTCCATTTCAACAGCCTGACGTTTCATTTCTTTTGCAAAGCTCTCCTGGACTCCTAAACTTCCGTGCTCCATTTTCTTGCTTTATTTGGGACGCTTGCAACCTCCCCCAAATTTTTGCATTCTGCTTAAAATTGAGGACCTTGGCATGAAACAGATGGGGGTTCAGGTCCCAGATTTGCCACTTACTAGCTGTTTAATTTGAAACAAATCGTTTAAACTTTCTAAGTCTCACTTTGTTCATCTGTAAAATGGGGGAGATGTAAGATGTTCATCTGTAAGATGAAATTACATGATGTCTGGAGTTTTCTTTTTAAAAATCTAGGTGGAGAAGTGGGCAGGGTTAGGAATGAATCGAAACTGAGCATAAATTGACAATAAAGTTGGATGATGAATACATAGTGTGTTGTATCATTGACTCTCTCTGTGTATATTTGAATTTTCATAAGATAAAGCTTAGAAAAATTAATTTTGAAATATGAATGCCCCAACAGAAAAATGGGTAACCAAAAGGAACTTTGGTGATACATGAAATAGCTACAAATGGCCACACAGTTTTGCTTTGGTTTGGTGTTTTTGTGTGTATTGGGTCACTCTTAGAAGTGACCAATGTTTCTTTTTTATTAATAAGAGGGTACAAATGATTTGGTTACATAGTTTGATTTTGTTATGCAAAGTCCAAGTTGCAGTTAAGCCCTTTATGCAGGGGGTGTGCCATGTACCCTTACATTGTCCCCCTAAGGTGAGAGCTTATCAGCAGGGTCAGGCTGGTGGGTATGTAGATGGGAGCCCACACAATTTTAAATGTTTGGCTTACCTAATAATTTTTATATGTAAATTTTACAAAGAAAGATGCTATCTCTTAAGTACTGACCAAATGGGATTAAAATAAAACAACACATATTATGTACACATCACAGTATCTTCTGCATAAATCTCAATACATATTAGCTGTTTTCATTTCTTCTTTCCATCAAGGCAATCTATGTGTTACCTTCCCTCCCTATACTACACCTCTACTCCTAAGAAGAGAAACTATGTTTCAGTCTTTGTGATACCCATAATGGCCAGTGCCTGAGGTTTGGGCCAAACCAAGTACTCAGTAGATATTTGTGGAATGGGTCTTATTCATTCAATACATATTTGCATGCACATACTATGTGATCTATGCTATTCTAAGCACTTTACAAATGTAAGTCCAGAGGCCTGCCGTAATCATAATGATAGGCAAACCCAAGGAGGCCTTCTGTTTTCAAAGTGAGAAGACAGAATCAACAAGTAACATGTCTAAGATAAGTGGCAGAGCTGAGATTTGAACTTAGGCATGAACTTGACACGGACTGAAATCCATGCACTTGGTAATTATGTTAGGTTGCTACCCATTCAGTTATGAATGCTGCCTTCACTCTAACTCCTCTTCTGGCAGCCCTCCTATGAATGAGGTAAAGAAATCAGCGAGGTGGTGGAAATCACAGTGGTGTGCTGGAGCTGCTTCATGGGACTCATTGACAGCCACTGTACACGCCTACAGTGACATCATATTGGTAGCTTCAAATTCGCCATGGTGGGAGCATTTACACCAGGGAAATCAGCAAACGCTACAAATAATGGCTTTTTTTTTTTTTTTTTTTTTTTGGCAAGCTGATGTCAAGCATTTCCTGGGTCTATGTCAAATAATTAACTAACCTTGAACATCAAAATTTGTGACTTGTCTTTGTTGATAGGCAGGTTCATGGTGCATAGGTTGAACGAGCTTGATTTTACGGCCATGGAGAGAGATATGAATGAATGCATGCATGCATGAATGTATGGATGAGTTCTCCTAAAAGGATTCCTAATGTGAACTCCTAAAGGAGAGGCATTAAAAGCAATTTGGGTAATTGCACCTTTTCAGGTGGCAAATGAGAGAGGCATCCCCTACAGACTACAGTCATCTAAGTGCTCAAGCACCATTATTCAATCACAGACATCTTTTCATGAGGCACAGTAAATAGACCCTGTCATGGGACTTGGCAACAAGTCAGTTTTTGCGACATCCTTCCCCAATCAGTGAGAACAGTGAGAAAGTTCAGGATGGAAGCTTCCCCACTCAAAGGAATAAACATGGCTTGGACTTTCCTAGCAGGTGCAGGGTCACCTGCTGCTCCAAGAACAAATATACAGACATGAAGATGAAGCATCTCAGATCTCACCCTTCTCTACACCAAGACCGCAGTAGCTGGCCTGATCAAGGAATGTGCTAGTAATTTTATCATCTGTATAGGAAGTGATGGTTTTGTATGCAGTCATTTTAGACAAAGGTGGGATTACAAACGATCTGTGAGAGTTAACAACATACTTTCAGCCTCTCTACCAAAATTGATTGGTGAGGAAGGAGATATTCTCCTTGTTGGAAATAAAACTCAGAGAAGGCAAAATAAGTAGTAATACTAATAATGAAACTAAAAAGCAAAATAATCCCATCTCACCAAGTAAGAGCAGGTCATTGAGGCTTCTTGTGAAATTTGAAGATAATCTACTGTAAAAACTATTGACTTTAGAGATTTTCAAACTACAAGAGCTGAGCCCCAGAAAGTTTGGGGGAATTACCTTCTCCTTAGCATTAGCAGAATAATTACGATTAAGATAATTAAATATTGACCATAAATAGTTGAACTTTACCAAGAAATATGCTAACCCATAGTTAGATGCTTATATTTCTTAAAATTCTTGCTCAAATTCTTTGACATTCTTTAGTATAAAAATATAAATATGTTAGTGGTCAGTTGGTTGTGATTTATTTTATTTAGAGTAATATTTTTAGCATAATTAACTGGCTAATGTCTGAGGTAGAGAATTAAGGAAATGTCTGTGAGTCTCTGACCCAATTCCTTCTCTAAGAACTCTCCTTCCCCAGAGCTTGGCCTCAGCCAATGTGACCTTCCTACATGGCTCTGCTTCCCAGTACAGCTGTCTGGGTCAATGTGGATACCACTCAGGTTGAGAAAACCCACCTCTCTCTGGACAACTTGCAGTTGGGATGCTAGGGAATATGGGAAGCAGTACGAATGTTGGACATGGACATGTTAGTTGGGAGC